ATCAGGTCCTCATTTTCTCCTCCCTCCCCGCTCCCCCCTCCCTCTTGAGCCCTTGATAATTTATAAATTATTATTTTGTCACATCTTGCCCTGTCGACGTCTCCCTTCATCCACTTTTAGATCCTTGTAATCGGTTCCCCTTTCCAACCCACTCTCCCTCTACACTCCCAGTATCACCACTCACACCACTGGTCCTGAAGGGATCATCTGCCCTGGATTCCCTGTGTTTCCAGTTCCTATCTGTACCAGCGTACATCCTCTGGTCTAGCCAGACTTGCAAGGTAGAATTTGGCTCATGATAGTGGGGGAGAAAGCCCTGCTTTTCTCCCAAGAGAGTAGTGGATTGTTTGCAATCAGTAAAAGTATTGAATAATTTGACTATACTTATTCAATCTCTTTCCAAACAAGCAATCTAAGAAGCTGGACTATATAAAAAAGAATGCAACATCTGATTTGGAGATAGGTTTATTATTAACAACCTTCAATATGTGGTTAGGCACCACCTTGTTTGCTGAAAGCCAAGATGATTTGAAACATTTACTGATGACGATCCAAGACTAGCCTTTATTATGGAGTGCAGCTCAAAATAAAGAAGACAAAAAGCCTTCCAACTGAACCAATAGTGAACGCCATGATAAATGAATAAAAAATTGACATGATGAGGAATTTAATTTTCCTTGGATATACAAATACTTAGGGACGTTTTAGTCAAGAATCAACATATGTATAGCATGGGGCAAATCTGCTGCACAATACCTGTGCAAAATGTGGAAGAAAAAGGATGTCACTTTGAGGATTAAGTTGCTCCTGATCCAAGCGATGGAATTTTCAGTTGCCTCACTTACATCTGAAAACTAGACAATAAATAAGGATGACTACAAAAGAATCAAGGTCTTTAAATTCTGGCTTTAGAACAAACAATATATCTTGGAAGAATGACAACCAGAATGCTCGTTAGAAGTCATCTCCCATACTTTGAATATATTATCAGGAGATACTAGTCCATGGAAAAAGATATCTTGCTTAGAAAGAAGGTAGCTGGTGAAAAAGACAATGCGCCAACAGTTGTCTCACACATAAAAATTGTCTCAAAAACATAAAAAACTCGCCTATGCTCTTGCTAGTCTTCCTTGTCTTGATCATTTTGTGCCACCTTCTCCCTTATTGTACATTGCCTTTCCCTTCACTCAATGGACTATGTGATAACCATCTAATTCATGGTTTGCTCTTCCTTTCCCATCCATCGTTTGCAACCTTCAAAGATCAATTGTTGTCTGTGTGAGAACCTTTTCATCACTTTGCAACAGTGGTCTCCTACATTATTTTTCCTCTTGTGATTGATTAATTTTATTCAATATAATGCCCTCAACATCTTTATGGTTGCATGGTATTCCATTGTCTATATGTATCATAGCTTGCCCATTCGTCTGTTGACAGGTACTTAGGTTTTTTCTATCTTTTTACTATTGTGACTAGTGCTTCAAGGAGCATAATGAATATATTTGTATTTCTGCCATTCGTATTTCTGTAGAATATAGTCCTTTATTTCATTAGGATAGTAATTATTAGGTCTATGACATGAGATATGATGAAAATGTTGTGTTCCCTCAGTCCCGTCCCCCTCATTCTACATACAAAATTATTTAATATTGTGGTGGTCTTTTGTACTTACTTTTATTTTGCTAAATATTCTTGTCAGTTTTAATTGATATGCACATATATATTTTCCATTAGCTCTTAATGATTCATCAAGAGTGAAACTTCTTTGTCCCTTCCCTTTCTTATTTTTGTTATTGTATCATTTGTATATTTCCAAGCACCTGGTCTTTACTGTCTGTTCTGTCACCCTACACTCCACATGGTTTTCATCTTAGTTACACATTTATCTATTCAGTGCTGACTACAGTATCTTTCCCCAATTTTTTCTCATTTATTTCTCAGTTTATCTCTTAGTAATTTCCACAGGAAGCATTCTTGGGAAACATAGTCCCTGCATTCTCTAGATGTTGAAAATTATTTGTTGTTTTAATAGTTTAGAGACAGTGTCAATTATATAATGTCACTAGCTCATTCTTTTAAAAAACTGTTGTAGGTGTATGTGACAGATTTTATGTCAACTTGCACCTCTGTGAAAGTGCAGGGGTGGAGTCCGACCTGTCAGTCAAGTCACAGCCTGAGGATACCTCCGTGGTGTGTGCCTCTTTATGAGAGAGCACTGGGAACTCATTTCTTTCTCATCCTTCACCTCCCTGGCTGGGACTTCATGAGGATTCTGTGGCAGCCACTAGGGGCAGCCCCATGGGCTTGCTGATTTGAAGAGCTGTCAGGCCTTGCTATCTTTCCAGGGAACTTGGATCCACAGGACTGCACCGACAGGCTTGTGAACTCCCTGCTTCCTGCTTCACCCATCTTCATCACCAGCCTGCAGCTCTGGGTCTGAAGAGGACCCTGGCTATCATGGACTTGACTTAGACTGGACTGGCATGACTCCTTGATATAAAATTACTTTTTGATACAAAATTCCTTCTTCCACATATGTCACTGGTTTTGTTTCTGTAGACAACTCAGCCTAAAAGAGTATACTTCTAGCTTCTGGTATTGAGTATGGCTATCTAATGTAACATAAGTAGTTTTATTTTCCCTTTAAATGATTTGATAATTTTGCCTGGTTACCAAATTATTCTCTCCTTATATTAAAAAAGCTAATAACTTTACTAGGACATGCCTTAGTTTTAACAACTCTGAGTTAAGTACCTCTAGTACCATGTGTTTCCTTTCAATATACACATCAGGTTGTCCTTATTTGAGAAAACCTACTTCAAATGGTGCTTTGAACTTTTGTTCCACTTTAGTTTTCTCTCTATGAGCCCCCTCCTCTATTTTGTTGCATCTATTTTGGGGGGGTCTCAACAATATCTGTGATTTTCTCTCTAATTCGTTCTCATTAAATTTTCATCTTACTGGTTTTTCTCATTTCTACCCATACATTTTCAACCGTGTTGGCATATGGTCTATTGTCTTTTGTGATTGATTTCTATTCTCTCCTGAGTTCTGCTAACGATATGTTATCCCTTCTTACCGTGTCTTCATCGCTCCCCTGAGTTCTTTCACTTTCGCTTTTTGATCTGCTGTCATGGGACTTATTCACTTTTTAAGAATAAATTTTATTTATGGCAATATGCTTGGTAACCATATTGACCTGACAATGACAACATTTTTTTTTTTTGTCTGGTGGTGGGCTATGCCGATATTTTTTATTGTTATCTTGTTATTATTATTGTTTTAGTTCTATCATTTATTCAATTATTTCTTGGCTAGTAATACCTTTGCATATATGCTGTGAAAGCTCCTTCAAAAATTAATTACTATTCATTTTTTCCGCTTAAAACTGAGCTTTGCAAGGTCTCTGGGAGAGACCTTGCAGTGCGGAATGAAGATGGTCTCCAATAGTTAACAACCTGCAGGGACAGACTGCTTTCTGAGAACTGACTCAGGTCTGTGATGATTTATGTACCGTAGACTCCATCATTACTTTGAGCCAAAGCAAGCAGAGGAAACATTCCGATTCCAGTGCTGTTCACCTTAGTCTACATTTCCCCGACATAAGTGTCTTTTTGCTAGCACTTCCCAAGATGCTGCTTCCCTTTTTGCCACTCTATATACTTACCTTTTAGTTTTGTGCATATTTTCCCCAATATCAGCTGCCGTTCTTCATGTTTTGTAGGCTACCGATCATATCGATCTTAGAGAGTTGCTGAAAGTGCACTTTGTTGGCCGGGTGATTTCCCACATCTGTCTGTTTTTTTGTATGTTCTCCAGGAGAAAAGAAGAAAGGGATGACTTTACGTGCATGCACTTGAAGTGGAGAGCTTGTTTTTTGTTTGTTTGTTCTTTCCCATAATTCAAATCTATAAAAGGGCCACGAAACCATAGAGTTCCTCCGGTTTTACAAGGGTTTCTCTGTTTTGTATTCCTTGGCTTGGCATTTATGTAACTCACCCTCAACCCACCTCATCTCTCTTCCCACTTTTACTCACCTTTATATACATTGTGCTTCCATTCAAGTGCTCTGTTCAGACTTACCTGAATAGTGGCTCTTGTTTTCATTTTGTCTCTTCAAATTGACATTATTTTCTCTCCACCTACATTAACCTCAGCTCCAAGATTCAAGAGTTTTCTCAAATAGGTCTAATTCTTAAAGTTTTCTTCTAATCCCTGAATATTATAAACTATCTTTTCTACACATACATTTATATTTGTTCATATTCTCTTAGCATTGTATCCTATTGAATAAGATGTTTTGGATATTTATGTACTGATTTCTATTTCTCTTAGTTGGAACAAAGCCATATTTGTGTTCCATTTATGCCTGAACACAACTTTATGTGTTGTGTACACTCAGTAAACATTTGTTGAAATAGCAAACTGAAGCAAAAGGTCAAAATTATTTTCTTCAGTGCATGACACAATTTCCTCCTATTTCTCCTTGATGTATAATATAACCACTCATGGGGATAATTTGGCTCCTTTTATTTTTTTAATTCGAACCCACAGATCGTGCAGATCGAATATGTTATAAAGATATGATTGCAGATGTACGTGTTGTCATGCAGACTGCCAAACTGTGTTTTGATTGTCTTAATTGTCATATTTCAATACAGAATAATTTGTTCTTTGCTCTTTATGAATCTTTAACAGAGTTTAAGTAGATTAAAAATAAAAATGAAAAACTCTTAGTCATCTACTCTCAAATAATGTTTCTCTATCACTATATAAATGAATGAAACAAACATATCCTTCTAGAATTTAGCTTGTCAATTTAAGATTGAAGTAAAAAGAATTGCAGAATATTAAAGAATAAATTCTCAAATCCACACTTGTTTATTGAAACACAGATTTTTGAGATAAAATAAGGCTTAAGAATTTCTTCTTGTTATTTGACTTAATTTGGCCTCTCATCAGATGTAATTGACGTGCTATTTTCTTCATCATTTTTGTAGCTCTGAAAGCTGTATTTGATGAGAAAAATCTGTTCCCTAAAGAACTTCTGGGTCGTGAACGAAGAGCCAAGCAATTATGTCAGGAAATAAGTAGTGAAGTGAAGATAAAAAGAAATAAGAAGTAATTATAACTACAACAAAAAGATATTATTGTCACAGAAAGTATGTGTATAACATGTAAGAAAGGAACAAAGACATCTGCCTCTATCCTATACTTTATATTTGAATTTTAAAAAGTTTCCTTTTTAGATGATGTTTATGCTGCTTTCACCCATCCCTTCACACTTCCTTTATTTTTCAATAAAATAAAGATTATAGAGAGAACAATATGAACCAGTGTGATCTATTCTAAAATGTTTTCAAATAAAAAGTGTAAATCAAGACAACGTGTTCTAACCAATTTTATTTCTGCTTGCTTCTGTAGACAAACTTGTTTTCTTCAATTTACGTTTGAAACTTGTACTGAAATTCAATACAACAGAGTAAATGCCTATAAACTTAAATGTGAACTGTTCTCACTTATTTACACTTTCTAGTTTTAAAAGACAGTTCTAAAATCAGCAATTAGAGCTTATTAATATGTCTTTCCCATGAATATTTATTGACGTGTAATCTTTGATACAATTATTGGGATTGGTCCCTTCTATACCTCGTTACATTGTACTTTAAAAGTGAGTGACATGGGACAACCAAAGAAGTAATAGTCTTAACGATGCAAAACAAAGATGTAGGGACTATATGAAAAGTCCATTATATGTAGAAGACCAAATAGGAAGTATTCAACTATTAAGATCAACTGCCCTCATTTATAAGCCATTTTTCTTTGTAAACATGACTATGCATAAGACAACTAATAACCTTATTCTGCTTTATATTTTTTGTCCTACAGAAAATAATTAATAAATTCTATAATTCTAACTTTAGTTAGTTGTCATATATTTGTATCTTAAATAGTCCTCTAAAGGACATTTGCGCATTAATAAAAATTTTACTATAGCACAGGCTGGTGTGTTAGCAGCTAGAAAAGAATGAACATTATATGGCAGTTTACCGTATCTAGAGATAAAGGAAGTTCATATTATTTAAGCCTTCCAATAATTGCATGCAATAAGTATATCTATTTTAAAGTGGATATCTGAGATGTGGTTCTATTAGCAAAGTTGGGATTATAGCTCAGGTCAGTTTTACTGAACAAAATTCTATTTTGCCTTTCACTGTCCTTTTTACTCTTTCCATGTTACTATAAATTCAATAGAATTGGTTGAAAGTTTCATTGAACAATCTATTAATCAAATTCATAACTTATTACTGACAAAATATCATTTGATTATAGCACAGTGAAGTGAAATTTGGAGCACATTCCCAGAAACCCAGGGAAATGTCAAGATGTTAAAGGGGTGTAAGATGCCACTAAATACTTGGCGAAGCTATTTTATTCTTCCATCTGTCCACACATTCATCTGTTCACATAGCTACCTGTCCATCCAATATTTATTCAAGGTATATTCATGTGACTGCTTCATTTTGCAATTTAATTTATTTATGCCATTGAGAGTATACACAGAAAAAGCAAAACCAAAACAATAGCAGTTCCTGCATACGCCATTTAGTGACATTGATTACACTCTTTGAGTTGTGAACCTATTTTCTCTTTTTCATTCTTAAGTGGACCTCCTACATTAACACACATTTACTCCCCCACTCAGATGATAAGTTAATCTTTGGAATTGCTGTTGGCATTTTGATCCCACATAGACAGTCCTTAAAAGAGCATTATGCAGACATTTTCACTCACAAAACTTAATAAACTATTGCTTGGTTTTAATAAGACTTCACATGATATTTCTGGTTAAAGGTTTAAAGATTATCCCAGGGCAATAGATTCAGGATTTCATCTATCCTACATGACTCCTTGAAGTATGGAGTCCATGACAATCTAAAATTCTGCTCTCTACTCTCCATTTTTCATCTGAAAAATCCTTTCCTTTTTTCGTGTTTAACAGTTTTACTGATATATAACTTGGATACCATATAATTCAATGGTTTAAATGTATTAAAAAGAGTTGAGCAATCCACTACAATCAACTGCAGAACATGGTCTTCTTTCTTGTATCCGTATTCCACAACCTCACATATCATAACCCTAAGGAACTGTTCATCTAGTTATTGACTCTAGATTCATCTTTTCTGGATTTCACATGAAGAAAATCATATGCAAAATGAAATAAAAGAGAAAAATCTTGATTTAAGTGAAAGCGGGGATACTAGAAACCAGAACAGATAAGAAATTGGCCAAAAGGGAAAACAAACAAGAATATGTTACAGTTTAACCTGTGTTTGCAGTAATCCCCTTCCCAATGCACTCCGAGGGTGAAGCAATTCCCATCCTGGTTCAATGGTGGGAGGGAATTCCACGGAGGCTGATTCCATGCGAGGACGCTGCAAAAAGATTTGGGGCTTTCATTGTCATCTACAGCCTTCTGCAAAGCAGTTGCTCAGAATATAAGCTCTAATTAAATTTCTTTTTCTGATCTTGTATCTTATTATTTACAATCCTTGATCACACAGAGAAGGTATGTTCCTTCTGTGTGGACTTAGCTGACATCTATCTAACTTAAATGGCTTTTAAAAAATATACTGCTTTATTAACATATAATATACATGTCATATAAACCAATGATTCAAATATATAAAATATTTCTTTAATCATTATCACAGTCAATTGTGGAACATTTTCTTCATATTCCTGCATCCATTTCTATTAGCAT